AGTGTTAGGTAAGTCAACAGTGGTTGTGGATACAGTGGGTGGTCCCGCGGGAGCACTGGTGGGTGCAGTGTTAGGTAAGTCAATAGTGGTTGTGGATACAGTGAGTGGTTCGGCGGGAGCACTGGTGGGTGCAGTGTTAGGTAAGTAAATAGTGGTTGTGGATACAGTGGGTAGTCCTGCGGGAGCACTGGTGGGTGCAGTGTTAGGTAAGTAAATAGTGTTTGTGGATACAGTGGGTGGTCCTGCGGGAGCACTGGTAGGTGTAGTGTTAGGTAAGTCAATAGTGGTTGTGGATACAGTGGGTGGTCCCGCGGGAGCACTGGTGGGTGCAGTGTTAATTAAGTCAACAGTGGTTGTGGATACAGTGGGTGGTCCGGCGGGAGCACTGGTGGGTGCAGTGTTAGGCAAGTAAATAGTGTTTGTGGATACAGTGGGTGGTCCAGTGGGAGCACTGGTAGGTGCAGTGTTAGGTAAGTCAATAGTGGTTGTGGATACAGTGGGTGGTCCCGCGGGAGCACTGGTGGGTGCAGTGTTAGGTAAGTCAATAGTGGTTGTGGATACAGTGAGTGGTTCGGCGGGAGCACTGGTGGGTGCAGTGTTAGGTAAGTAAATAGTGGTTGTGGATACAGTGGGTAGTCCTGCGGGAGCACTGGTGGGTGCAGTGTTAGGTACCTAAGTCAATAGTGGTTGTGGATACAGTGGGTGGTCCAGCGGGAGCACTGGTAGGTGCAGTGTTTTGTAAGTCAATAGTGGTTGTGGATACAGTGGGTGGTCCTGTAGGAGCACTGGTGGGTGCAGTGTTAGGTAAGTCAATAGTGGTTGTGGATACAGTGGGTGGTCCTGCAGGAGCACTGGTAGGTGCAGTGTTAGGTAAGTCAATAGTGGTTGTGGATACAGTGGGTGGTCCAGCGGGAGCACTGGTAGGTGCAGTGTTTTGTAAGTCAATAGTGGTTGTGGATACAGTGGGTGGTCCTGCAGGAGCACTGGTGGGTGCAGTGTTAGGTAAGTCAATAGTAGTTGTGGATATAGTGAGTGGTCCTGCGGGAGCACTGGTAGGTGCAGTGTTTTGTAAGTCAATAGTGGTTGTGGATACAGTGGGTGGTCCTGCAGGAGCACTGGTAGGTGCAGTGTTAGGTAAGTCAATAGTAGTTGTGGATATAGTGGGTGGTCCGGCGAGAGCACTGGTGGGTGCAGTGTTAGGCAAGTCAATAGTGGTTGTGGATACAGTGGGTGGTCCAGCGGGAGCACTGGTGGGTGCAGTGTTAGGTAAGTCAATAGTGGTTGTGGATACAGTGGGTGGTCCAGCGGGAGCACTGGTAGGTGCAGTGTTTTGTAAGTCAATAGTGGTTGTGGATACAGTGGGTGGTCCTGCAGGAGCACTGGTGGGTGCAGTGTTAGGTAAGTCAATAGTAGTTGTGGATATAGTGGGTGGTCCGGCGAGAGCACTGGTGGGTGCAGTGTTAGGCAAGTCAATAGTGGTTGTGGATACAGTGGGTGGTCCAGCGGGAGCACTGGTGGGTGCAGTGTTAGATAAGTCAATAGTGGTGGTTGTGGATACAGTGGGTGGTGCTGCGGATGCAGTGTGCAGTGGACACTTGTGGGTGCAGTGTGCAGTCAATAGTGGTTGGAGGTACAGTTGGTCCTGCGGGAGTGGTTAAATATGTTTTGATGATATTCTATGAAATAGACAATTTGATCAATTTGTCAATTTTTTAGCAAACTTTAGGCAAAGTGTGAATTATGAAGTCAATTTTTTAATCTGTAGATTCATCTGGCCTCATTGTTTTTAAAGTGGGCAACAAATAAGGCACTGAAGAAAACTTTATTTTCGCTTGGAATTTATTTTCGTTGAAGGAATGATTCAGTGAAAATAAAATCCAGCGAATATACCACAAAGTCATTGATTCCAGTGTTTTTACATGTAAATTTCCCTCATTTTGACCAACCAATCACAAAGTCATTGATTCCTGTGTTTTTAAGTGTAAATTTCTCTCGGTTTGACCAGTTTAATTTCACTTAACATAATTTCTGTATATGATATGACATACTTTTGTGATGCAAATGCAAAAACAAACATTTTGCCCATTTCCTTGAGAATTCAGCATTTGTGCCACCCAGAGACTTAACAATGACATACACAAATAGTTACGATAAAAGTATGAAAATGACTTAATTTTCCATTCTGTCTTAATCTCCATATTCAAAAACAAATATCTTGATAATTTACTGTATCAGTATTTTTGACAAGCTATTCTTATTCTTAGGAGCTGCAATCGGTTATTGGAGTGCTGAGGATTATGAAGCAACAATTACAGTTTTAAAAAATCTTAATGATGAAGACAAGCAAGAACTGGTAAAAAGGGTTCAAATGATGGTAGGAAGCACAGGATTGGACGCTCTAACAGATTGGCTCAAAATTTCAACCAATCATAGAATATTCATAGAAGCTGTGCGTGCTATTATTTCTAAAGCCACTCAGAAGTGATATATCGATTGAATCAAATGTGTTTGTTTTATTTATATGAGAAAACAAATTACGTCAGATATAATGAAAGATTGCAGAGTACTTTTCAAGTCACCGCACACTGATTGTGTATGGCGCCCTCCATCAGATGCAGCATGAAATCTTTTTTTTAATGAACTCTCTTACCTTATCAATAAATTTAATTTTATGTACTTATCACATGTATAACGTACATATCTCCACAGTGTGATGTAATATCAGACAGATAACACATAGTGTGATGTAATATCAGACAGATAACACATAGTGTCGTGTCATATACTGCCAAATTTGTTTTCATTTTATGTACTGCCTGAAGGTTATGTGGAGCTTACAGGGTTCAGTCTGATAACAACAGAGTATGGTAACAGTAGGTCATTTTGGCAAACTCATGTGTTCATTTTCAGAATTTTTATTCAGGCCCTCCCAAAAATTGATAGAAATTAAAAAGAAATCCTAGTGAAATGAAGCAAATATCATGAACATGCAGTATCACACACACAGCATTCACATGAAATAAAACTCTGAGTGTCAACAAAATTAGCATACGAGACACACACAATGATATATTTGTATTCAGTGTTATTTCAATAATATTTCTATTTTCAACACTCATCGTTTCACTTTTTTGGATAGCGGAACTATGCATTTGATATTTGTTCTCAGGTTGATGTCAGCATGCAGTAATCATCAATCCTTGTATGTGGCTTGGATTGATACAAAACTCAAGTGGTAATCACTCGTGTCAGCTTATGTCAACCTAAGAAAAATACAGTGGGATTGTATATAATGATTAAATAAACTACAATGTTTCCAATGAAACAGGAATTTTGGTTTTATTCTGTAGCATGTTTTCCTACAACAGCTACTATATGAAATAAGGAAAGTTACAAAGAACAGTATTTATAAAACCAATAATCTGACAAAAAATATCTTTAATATGATTATTGTATTTTTGTCACATATCGTGTTCTCCCTATTATTGGTGCATACGCTTGCATAAGCAATAGAGGTGCACATACACTGGTACTGTCAAACCATTTATTTGCTGGTGAAACTATGCTTTTTATTATAATTTATTATTGTACATCTGTCACCGTAACGCCATAAGTTACATTGTGCTGTAATTTTGCGGTATTTTACAAGGTATTTTCATCCTACCATATTAGTAAATGCCAATTCCAAATATGAAATGATTACTCAGGTAAGCGTCCTCTAATAATAAAAACAAACATGGCTGCCACCAGAGTTTGACCGGACTCCACACAAAGAAGTTCGCTGATTCTGTTATAAACATTTTGGATTTTGGCATTCCCATGGTGTATCCTTGGAAGGAAAAGATTTACCGGTATAATAATAAGGTTATTACAAGAATACCTCAAAGTATGCACTCAGACAGATACTCCGGCTGTACTGTCTTTGTGCATACTTTGAGGTACCCGGTATTCTTGTAATAACCTCATAATATACTTATTAATGAAAAAAATGAAATTATAACCCAGTGAGTAATCAATGTATGTGGTCAAAATAATTCATATATTATTGATTCTGCCATAGACCCTGTGATCCAGCAGTAAAAGCATTTTTGACAATGGGAGTCTTTGCGGTTTATGTGTCATTATGGCGTATTATGCATTATTATGCCATAATGAAAAATATCATCCTAGGACTTAATTTAATAAAGTATGTCAAA